AGGGCTGGAGGCAAGTGCCAGGGGGTGCAGGCACAGAGTGGAGGGCAAGTGGCAGGGACACAGGCACTAGGATGGAAGCAGGGGGAGTAGTGCAAGTGTGGGGGGCAGGCAGCAGGGCATACAAGCACAGTGGTAGCAGGGCACAGCAGAAGGGCCAAGTGGGCGGGGGGGGACAGGTGGCAAAGGGCAGGGCTCAGGCCAGTTTACTTTCCACTGCTTACCCTGCTGCAGTACTGGGGACACGCACACAAATATAAGACAATTCCAAAAATTGCATTCTAGACATGAAATATTATAATATTGTATTCTTATTACTTCCTGCTCAGGCATGAGTGGCCTTTGATCACAAACGAGGATGAGATTTAGGCATACTGAGCAGGGTCCTTCTTCCACTTCTTTCTTTCTTTTGTGGTAGACATCAGATAGGCCATCTGACAGGCAACCTGGCTCTGTTGCTTTAGTTCAACACCACCTCCTCTTGGTAAGAGGTTGGTAGGTTTGGTTTTCATCCTGCAAAAACTTGGAACACCAAGATAGGAGAAAATGAGTTAAATTATTTTTTGTTTCATTTTTTCCTTTTCTTCTAAGGTGTCTATGAAGGCTCGTTGTTCACACTATCAATTGAAAACGTCTCGATATGAATGTATACATATAACTTCCTTGAAATCTCCCCCTGCCATCCCCTTCATGCTATGAAATAGTAGTATTGTAGTTAAAACTGCAAGAATCGTAGGTAACGGGAATAGAAAGTAGCCATATAGCTTTAGTGGGCAAGTGTTTTTTTTAGGTCGTCTTTTGCTAGTGAAATTTTTGGTACAGCTGAAAAAAGATTTTCAGAAATGCACTGAACTTCCAGTCTGAATGATAGTATAATGAAACTAGGGTTTTGTTATATTAGAAATTATATTGACATTCTTTAGGACGGGGCAGGCAAAATATGGCCTGCCAGGCCATTCTATCTGGCCTGTGGGGCCCCTAAAAAATTTAGAGTATTATTATCTGCCCCTGGCTGTCTGTCCAAGATGACAAGGCACGAGCAGGGTCCAGAAGGAGCTGGCAGCAGGACCTAGTAGCTGCAGCAGTAAGGCCCCCGTCTGGCCATGCCCCACCCCTAGCCCCCACCTGGAAGCCTGTGCCTAGCAGAGGCTTCTGGCTTTGTGACCCTGGGGCTACTCCCTGCCTCCCTCTGTCTGAGAGTGCTAAGAATGGCAGGGGAGTGGAGGACAGCTGGCAATTGCCCCAGTCCTTGGGGCTGGGCCGGCTCCTGCGGTCCCAGTGATGGAATTGGTGAACCACATGGTTCCAGAGTGGCTGGCCAGGTGGGAAGGTGTGGAGAAGCGGCGGGTGGGAAAGGGGCAATGGCACTAGGTGGCGGGGAGTGGCA